AGACAGTTTAGGTATCCGGTATTTTCTGATTTATTTTACCAGACAGGAGGTGAGAATACTGGACTGTCTGGGTCAATACCAGACACCTGGTAACCCTAGCTCTTACTGTTTAGGAGGGGTTCTTGAACAGACTCACAGACAGACACAGACACATTACATAAGAACATATGTGATCTCTCTCCTGCCCTCCATCTCCATCCTCTGACAAACAGAGGCTAATGACACCATTCCTTATCCATACTGGCTAATATCCATTTATGGACTTAACCTCCATGAATTTATCTATTTCTCTTTTAAACCCTGTTATAGTCCTAGCCTTCACAACCTCCTCAGGCAAGGAGTTCCACAGATTGACAATGCGCTGTGTGAAGAAGAACTTCCTTTTATTTGTTTTAAACCTACTTCCCATTAGTTTCATTTGGTGGCCCCTTGTATATATATATGTTGCCTCAAGTGGAGCTACACTGATTTACACTACTTAAAGGTGTGACTCAACATGCTTTTCCTTCTTGACTCCCTAGAAATGAGATGTCTGCAGCAACCAGTGTCAGGTATGTTGATTTGTGCTGGGCTTTCTATTGGCATTAGAAGTCAAAAGTATCCCCTTTTCTTTGCTGCCCAATCTATGCTAGAAAGAATTTCAAGCACATATTTGGAAGTGAAATTGAATGAACCCAAAAGGTAGAACTAGGGCTATGCTGGGAAGCTTCAGTCTTGATCCAAATACGAACTATTTCATGCTCACGGGCTTTTAGCTCTACAGTGGAATACAGGAAACTTGGAGGCCATTGCCATGGACCCTGGCTGTCCCCCCAGGGAACATGAAACTTTCCACACAACTTGGCAGTAATGTTCCTTTACTCTTTTCTACCCATGTTCAGATTTTTTCCATCAATGTGCAGAATAAATTTGTGTGTGCACTGAGACATGTGCAAACATGCACCACCAGTAGAAACAAAAACCTAGCTGTGGGCACTCTGATAATCAGTTGGGAGGCATTTTAATCTCTCTTGAGCAGCCACACAAACATGCAGTTTGCAAAGAACACTGCTTCCCAGTCTCTTGGAAAGGTTGGCTGCAAAGGGCACTACTGGCTGTGCTCCCTTTTCTGTACCCACCCTATATTCCACTTCAGGGAAAATTATGAGTTACCAGAGACTCTGCTAGGGGTAATTTCCTACAGATTTTTGGAAATCAACATGGCCTTGATTGGGGGGAGGAACCTTTTTGGGGTTGGGGGCTGCTGACCCACAGAAAAATCTGTCAGTGGCTGCACACAAGTGAGAAGCAAAGTGAGAAGCCCCTGACTGAGGAGAAAGACACTCCCCACATTCCCATTGCACACCAGAGCCTGCAGGGTCCAGGCTAGTAAATTTTATGTGCTCCAGCCCTGTGGGTGGGTAGTTAGGGAGCCAGCATGGGCTCTCCAATGGTGAGCCTTGGGGGGCTGGATCCAGAGAAGCCAAGGGCTGCATCTGACCCCTAGGCCTGAGGTTTCTCACCCTCCCCTGAGGTTCTTGAGTAGATCTGGTCAGGAACTTTTCTACCCAACCAAAACTTTTGGGGAAATGTACCAGCTTCAACTAAACTTTTGTTGGGCAAGTTTCTTAAATTCAGGATGGAATTTCTGGGCAGAGGAGGAAGTAAGAGATCCCAGAATAACAAATAGCCTGATGATGTAGGACAGTGGTCACCAACCAGTAGATCAGGATCTCCCAGTAGATCTTGTAGCCTCTGACAGGTGATCCTGACTGGTTTGGCCAGGAAGCTATCAAGTGTTGGCACTTCAGTTACCCCTCTAACCACTGGATGCTGCTTCTGCCCCCTGCCTTGGAACTGGCCCTCCTGGAGCCTCCTGCTTGCTGTGCAGTTGTGGGAGGGAGAAGAGGGGGGCACTAATGTCAGGGTGTCCCTCCTCCCCCCACTCCTGTACCCCATCTCCACATAGGATTGGAGGGAGGTTGGCAATGCAAATCTCTGTCACTCTCACACACTGTGGCTACGTCTAGACTGGCATGATTTTCCGCAAATGCCTTTAGCGGAAAAGTTTTCCGTGTTAAGCATTTGCGGAAAAGAGCGTCTAGATTGGCATGGACGCTTTTCTGCAAAAGCACTTTTTGCAGAAAAGCGTCCGTGCCAATCTAGATGCGCTTTTCCGCAAAAAAAGCCCCGATCGCCATTTTCGTGATCGGGGCTTTTTTGCAGAAAATAAATCGGAGCTGTCTACCCTGGCCCTTTTGCGCAAAAGCTTTGCGCAAAAGGGACTTTTGCCTGAATAGGAGCAGAATAGTATTTCCACAAGAAGCACTGATTTCTTACAGTAGGAAGTCAGTGCTTTTGCGCAAATTCAAGCGGCCAGTGTAGACAGCTGGCAAGTTTTTCCGGAAAAGCGGCTGATTTTCTGGAAAAACTGGCCAGTCTAGACACAGCCACACTGTCCTTCACTCTCATCTCCTGACCCAACACATACGTGGGTTGTTGTTGTTCTTTTACTGCTTGCAAAGTGGGTAATTTTTGGTTTTCGACTGGTCTGTGCACTTCATAATTTCATTTCTCTCTTACACTTAAATGTAATTCATTGAGTAGCGAGTTCTAAAATGCCTAACCTGTCATGGCTGGAAGAATTATCCCTGTGGTAATTGCTGTTCCTGGAAGTGGCTGGCATGTCCCTGCAGCCCCTAACAGAGGCAGAGCAGAGGATCTCCACATGCTGTCCTTGCCTGCAGACACCACTCCAGCAGCTCCCATTGATCAGTAATGCAGAACTGTGCCCAGTAGAAGCTGTGGGCCCAGTGCCTGTAGATGAGGGGCAGCACATGGAGCCATGGAGCACTGCTGAACATGCCAGCTGCTTTCAGGAAGTGTGCAGGGCCAGGCAGGGGGAAGCCTGCCTTAACCCCACTGCTCCACCACCCAGGAACTGTCTTAATTACGTGGTGCCCAGCCAGAGCCTGCATACTAAATCCCTGTCCCAGCCCTGAACCTCCTCCTGCACCCAGCCTCCTGTCCCAGACATGAATCCCCCTGCACCCAAACTCCTTCCCAGAGCTTGCATCCTGAAACCTTTCCTGAACCTCAATCCCACACCCTGGGCTAAGCCCTGAGCCCCTCCCACACTCCAAACCCCTTGGCCCAAGACCAGAGCCTGCACCCCAATCCCCTACCCCAGCCTGATGAAAGTGGATGAGGTTCAGGAAGGAAGGGGGAGAGAGTGAGCAGGGTGAGGTCTTGGAGAAGGGGTAGAGCAGGGGGCAGGGCCTCTGAAAAGGGGTGGAAAAGAAGCGGGGCAAGGGTATTTGAGTTTGAGGTAGCTCTTACACTGCACTTAAATTGAAAAGCTGATCTTGTGGTTAAAAAGTTTGGAGATCACTAATTTAGGATATAGAAAACCACATTCAAGACCCTGCTTTCCCTGACACAGACCAGATTTTGAATCTGAATCTCATGTAGCCCAGGTGGCTGCCTTAAATAATGGATCATTGGTTATTGTGGGACAGATGTCTCCCAACCTCTCTTTTTGGAGCTGGTCTTTGTATAAACAGTTAAATATTAATTGAACAGAAAAACAGAGTGCTGATAGCCCCGTCATTGGGTCACTCATCTTGGATGTGGGTGATCAAGTCACTGTTCTGCCTGATCCCCCTTACCACCAAGGTGAGTGCCCTAGGCATCCTTATTAGCTATTCCTCAGAGGCGTTCTATGCTTGCTCGCTCTCTCTCGTCTCTGGTTTTTTTTGGGTTTTTTTAAAGAAAAACCGTGAAAGGTTGTGGTTTTGTCCCAATAAGGAAATGGAGAATGTATGTAATCTCCAAAAATTTCAGAGGATACAAGAACTATTTCTCACCTAACTCTGCTTCATAACCATCCTCTCCCTCCTGTACTTTCACAGTTGCAGTTGGCATAGATCGGACAGGCTGCCCTGGTGTCTGAGGTCATTTTAGTCTATTCCAATCCTATGGCTGGAGCCACCAGATTGCAATGTCATTTAGTATTATGATTTTTTTTATCGTACTTGTAGTGACCAGTCTTTGAAGAAATACTGTATTGTTGTTAGTTGTGCTTTGAAATTTCTTTTGGGGAGACCTGTGGCAAGAAGGCAGCTTGTTCTGTGCTTTCATTCTTCTAAGAGGAGTCAATTCTTGGAGCCAGGGTTGCTCTCTGAGAACTGGGCAAGGTTCTTATGCTTAAGTTCCTGAAAGGGGAGCTTGCCTGCATACTGTTTGTGACCATCTCTGTTCAAGAACGTATGTAGACAGTGTATAATGAACAAGCTGCACTAAGAATATACCCAGATTCTGATTTCTCTTGCAATGGGAAGCCAATCTTCAAGGTCTATGCAACTTGACTGAGAGGTCACATCATAGAATCATAGGACTGGAGGGACTCTCAAGAGGTCATCTAGTCCAGTTTCCTGCACTCATGGCAGATCTAAGAATTATATAGGCCAACCCTGGCAAGTGTTTGTCTAATTACTCTTAAAAATCTCCAGTGATGGAGATTTCACAACCTCCATATGCAGTTTATTCCAGTGCTTAACCATCTTGACAGGTGGAAAAGTTTTTCCTAATGTCCTATCATGTTCTGATCCTGTACCAGTTAACATGGTATTTGAGCAGGAGAGCCACCGTTCTCTTGACACATTTTTCTCCTTCCTATAGTGTGCTGTGGAGATCAGGTGGCCCTTTGGGAGGAACGTCTGAGCCAGACAGGCAAGCAAGATGATATGTGTGCTATAAATACTTTGAGAGACACTCCAAATGAGATGTATGCATATCTAGAAAGCAAGAGATGTTGAGGTTTGCTTTTTTGATTGGTGACCTTATAAAACCTTAGGTAGAGATGAATGCATAGAAAGAGGAGACTAAGAGGTGAAGAAAGAAGATAAAATAAGTGACACATAGGTTACAGAACAGGGCCATCATGTGAAGCATCTTTGTGAAACTGGCTTAGAAAGTCAACGTGTGTTTTAGCAATTGTCTCCCTTGATTCTTCTTAACAGGAGCAAATGTGAACATCAAAACAAATAATCAGGATAAAGAGACTCCCCTGCACACAGTGGCACGTTTTGGCATCCCTGAACTGGTGGCATTTTATATGGACCAAGGAGCAGATGTTGATGCTGTCAATAACCACATGGAAACTCCACTGGCCTGTGCAGTTTACTGGGCCCTTCGGTTTAAAGAGCAGGAGTATAGTACAGATCACCACCTAATCTGTAGGATGCTGTTAGACTATAAAGCTGAAGTTAATTCTCGTGATGAAGATTTCAAATCGCCACTCCACAAGGCTGCCTGGAACTGTGACCATGTGCTGATGCACCTGTTGCTCGAGGCTGGGGCTGAAGCAAACCTGATGGACATCAACGGCTGTGCCCCCATACAATATGTTCTGAAAGTGACATCTGTGAGGCCAGCTGCCCAGCCTGAAATCTGCTACCAACTTTTACTGAATCATGGAGCAGCTAGAATATATCCTCCACAGTTCCACAAGGTGAAGGCTGTATATGGTGCAATGGTTGGGCTTCATTTACACAACACAGCTATGTGGCTTTTTCTGGCGCTTTTGCAGACAAAATACTTACAGTTCCCAGGAGCAATAGCACTTGCTGTGGCAAAGCTTTTGTTATGGGCAGGGAGAGGGTTCAGCACCCGTGAATGATGAAAGCTTTGTTGCTGGATTGCCAGTGTAGACAAAGCATTAGAGTGAAGAGATGATATTTTGATCTGGATTAGCATAGGGGCCTGATCCAAATTTCATATTTGAGTTCAAATAAGATTAGGGTTTGAATCTGGATTTGATGTGCCAAAACCTTGTGATCTGTTCGTATGAGACTGTTGCCCAAAAAGACAAAAATCTTGCAAGATCAGATGTTTTCATGAGATTTGCACCTTCTCATTCCTCCAAGAGAGCAGAAATAGATGCTAGATATAGACCCTTATTTGGATTTGGAGACAACTAGGAACTGTAAGTGTTGATTCTAAGGATCCAGATCTAACCCACTTTCCTCATTTCAGATATACTGATATGCCTTGGTCTAACTAACCCAACTTATTGGGCTCAGGATAGGGGGAACCAGGCAATATTTAATAGTTTGTGATATATAAAGGAGTCTAGACAGTGTGATCTACCACTCCCTTCTCACCTTGAAATCTATAAATTTATGATGAATCACTTATCCCTGAAATTCGAAGGTATCACATTTGAGTTTTAGTCCTATGATAATATGCCGTATAAATGGGTAAAGTCAAATAGAGGTAACTACTGGGAGATAGTGGGAAGGAAGATCAAACTATTTGCAAGACTCCCGCCAGAGAATTTCTAAAGGTCTGCAAATTCAAGGCCCTCATCAAGATGTGATATATAGATGTAGTTATCATTACTCCAAATGAGGAGAGAGCTTTCTGTACTGAGTGTGGAATACAGTATGAATCTGTCTATGCTAGCACCCACCCTGTTTGAGGAAGTCCCTATGTCAAGACCATCTTGTTTTCATAGTACAGACTGGTCCTTCCCTTGAGAGAGTATTGCCTAGAACTTACTGGCCTCCTGTGTTTTATTTTTGTCTCTGCCACTGACCACTTGTGTGATGGAGTGTCAAGTCTCCATGCCATCATTTAGCCATCTGTAAAATATGTAATGTGATATTTTATCTCATAATGGTGTTCTGAGACGTACATGATAAATGCCTCCACAAGTCTTTGCTGAAAGGTAAGCACACAATAAATGCAAAGTTGCATGAATATGAGCAAGGGCAGTATTTGGTCCACTCTCAATTAACAAACCATATTAGAGTCAAAACAGTGCCCAGGGCTCTTCCATGCTTTTAAAGCTAGCTAGCTAGCTACCTTCCTTCCTACTTTTGTTCGTATTCAGGGACCTCTGCCTGAGGTGTGCATGAAACTCCTGTGATTAACATTGGTCAAAGTTATGCCCTGTGTGGGGGAAGGACAGTGGGAGAATTGTTAGTACATGTGTGACTGACAGCCTTGAGAAACCAGGGAGAAGGTTGCTTCCATTCATGAAGATACACATATGTGGCCTAATGGATAAGGCAGTGTGGTAAGAACTGTGAGAACTCTTTCCTGTTCCTGACTGTGGCACTGATCTGCTATCTGGCCTGAGACAAGCAATTCATCTCTTTTCCCTCTCCCATCCTTGGTCTGTCCATTTAGATTGTAAACAGCCATCTTTTCATGAAGCTGGTAGGTGCTATTGAAATTTAAAGACTTATGTCTGCTTCCCTCCTGCAGGTGCTGCAGGCCTGTCATTCCCACCCAAAAGCCATTGAGGTTGTCATTAATTCATACGAACATGTCAAGTCAACATCAAAGTGGAGAGCAGCTATACCTGATGACGTCTTTGAGGTAAGCTTTTGATGAACTTCCACTTATGTCTGCAGTGTTTGCCTCCCTAACATTTCCACGCAGGCACAGAAAAGTGATTGTAATTACAGATAATGCTTTTGAAAGCCTAACTCAAGAGGAAAGAACAAGTGCTATAAAATGTCTTGCACACAGAAACAGGACATGGAGAATGTAGTGCAGGTTATAAGCAGCAGCACTGAGAATTTCACAGCAATGTGGAATATTCAGGATATCTGAGGGAGCACACAGCAGGATAAACAGAGATATTTGACACTTTTTAATGTGAAAAGTTTCCCCACAGAAAAATATTGTATAGTCAACAATGATTTTTTTTCTTGTCAGAAAATACAAGTTCTGAACACAAAACATTGATTTTTCTAGAAAAATGTATTTAAAAATCCATTTTCATTTCAAACCAGCATTTTTTAAATGAATGACAAGTTTTGTTTTGTTTGGTCTTAAAAAGTCATTACGTTTCTGTTTTCAGTTTAAGGACAATGATTGCCCACATCAACATATCACTTTGAAATTATGAATTTTCAGTTTTGACATTTCCGAGTCAGAACTCTTCAGAATTTTCATTCTATTAATTCTTTTTCTTTTTATATTTTACCTTTCCATTTGAATTTTTGGAACAGAAAATAATTTCAAAATGTCAACATTTCCTGTGGGATGGAAATTCCATTTTTGGAACTGTTCCAATTCTCTCAATGCCACTCACACTGGGGCCCTCTGCCTTCCCCAGCTCCTCAGCACTGTGCAGAGTGCACCGCCTAGGGGTCTGTAGCACCCCACAGGGCTCTGCCCAGTGCTCTTTGAATCCTTGGGTCCTAGGGCAGTTGCCCTCTTTGCCTTCCCTGTCAGTGGGCCTGAGCTGGAATCATATCCCCATCACAGATGCCACTGCTCCATAGTATGATTATGTCATTGATGCAAAATATATCATTGACCTATGAGATGGGTATTATAAACATTTTTCTCCAGATTTTTCCAGCTGTCTGGGAGAGCTGGATTTCTGAAAAATACATTTGTTTTGTCTTTGCAGCGGCACAGAGATTTCTATGATTCTCTCTTCACCATGTGCAGTAATTCACCACGGTCTCTCCTGCATTTATCAAGATGTGCTATTAGACAAGTATTGTACAAAAGGTGCCACAAAGGAGTCCCTTCACTTTCCATTCCACCTCTATTGAAGAAGTACTTGCTGTTAGAACCAGAAGGAATAATTTATTAAGACTTACCAGAGAAGATTTGGAGTTCTGATTGTACCTGAAATCTCTGGGTCTGAACACATGTGGAGGAAATTACCATCATAGAGTTTCACTAGGAAAAGTTGAAGTTCTTGGCAAAATTCTAATGCAAAGGATCTGGTTTCATAATTAGCCAATGCAGAACTGCTTTCTCCATTTTATACACTGATCTTTTGTTCAGTTTAGTTTTAAATTAACTGAACCAAGTGTGACTTCCACCATTTCACTTTGATAACTATTCCATTAGATATCACTGTTGAGTATTTGTTCCAGATATCCAACACTAACTGCCCTTGATATTGTTTCAATTTAATTTTCTTCAGCCATCATCTTGTGAAGAAGAAAACAGGACAGTATCAGATATGTGTCTAAGAGTCAGCTACATCTTTTCCCAGAAAAAAAATCAAAGAGCTTTGAATGAGGCCCATAGACTGAATTACTGTATTTTAAGAGGTTTTCCTATGGATTACCTGGAATCAGATGGTAGTTGATTGTATGTTCTATTGCATCTGTAAGCAGGGTCTGAATTGATGCTTCCATTATAGCCAACTGGAATGGGAAAGATATCCTGAGTGTATTTATGTAAATACAGTTCACTCAGTTTGCTTTGGTCTGCTAGATATTCAATTGTTACAATGGTGTTTTGCCCATTATACCCAATCTGGCTGTTGTGGGGGTCACAAACTTTGTTAACATTAAATGCAGAAATTGTGAGATGATCTCACAATTGTGAGGTGATCTCAATTCAGATGATCACCAATGCTTGCAGTTATTGTAGGAATGCAGAAAAGTCAGACTGTGTTTAACTCAGTTCAAAAGGTGACAGACTGTCAGTGTAAAGAACCTTGGATGTACAAGGGCCCTTCTGCCAAAGCTCTGTGAAGTTAACCAGGTGGAGAGCAGGACTCTGAATCAGCAGGTTGCATGCCCTCTAGGCTATTAGACGGTTCAACCTGTTTTTCTCTCTTCCCCTCCCCATTCTAATGATAGCACTAGAACAGACTCCATAAGGAATCTCTTTTATTATTTTGAATATATTGCAGTAGATGCTGGCATTTTGGGTGTGGGTGTGGGTGTGTCTAGATTTTGCTTTGGACCAAGAGCTGAAATCACCGAGAGCTAAAATCACTAGATTTGGCTCAGAGCCAAATCCACCACAAAGTTGGCAGGTGGCTGGTGGGAGTGGGCGGCAGGAGCAGCAGGCAGCCAACAGGAGCAATGAGCAGATGGCTTTGCCCCATGCTCAACAAGGGGAGACTTCATGATGATGTACCTATAAACTCTGGGTCTGCACTGACTGGACAGAGCCATGAGTGGGGTGTTTGAAGTAGAGGGAAGGCAAACTATATGGCTACGTCTAGACTGGCATGATTTTCCGCAAATGCTTTTAATGGAAAAGTTTTCTGTTAAAAGCATTTGCGGAAAAGAGTGTCTAGATTGGCACGGACGCTTTTCCGCAAAAGCACTTTTTGCGGACAAGTGTCCATGCCAAGCTAGACGCACTTTTCCACAAAAATGCCCCGATCGCCATTTTTGCGATCGGGGCTTTTTTGTTCAAAACAAATATGAGCTGTCTACACTGGCCCTTTTGCGCAAAAGCTTTGTGCAAAAGGACTTTTGCCCGAACGGGAGCAGCATAGTATTTCCGCAAGAAGCATTGATTTCAGACAATAGAAAGTCAGTGTTCTTGCAGAAATTCAAGCAGCCAGTGTAGACAGCTGGCAAGTTTTTCCGCAAAAGCAAGTGCTTTTGCGGAAAAACTTGCCAGTCTAGACACAGCCTATGAGTTGAGGGTTGGACTAAAGATCTTGAAGGAAAGGACTCCATCTAGCAGACTCTGGGGATGATTGTCCTGTTTATGGATATTCTTTGTTTATGTGTGTTTCTTTAGATTAATGCTAGATTACTATTATTAAACAGATTGCTTCTATCTCCGACTCAGTGGTTTGTGAGAGGGAAAGAATGGCCTCTGAAGGCCTCCAGTGGGTAGGTTGAAATTTTCCCAGTTTACTGGGTGAGGAATCAAGCCAGTTTGGTTGCATTAATGAAAGACTCCCCCTAGATACTGAATCCAGCCCTTCTGTCTACCAACTGCTACCGGCACAAGGGTTACCTATCATTGAATGTTTTGCCATTCTCTGTAATTGCACTGTCATGGAAGTACAGCAAAGAAGAGATGAGCAGTGTTTAAGTTCATATCTGTGCATAACGCGCATCCTTCACTAAACTTGCACGCGGCTGAAGAGTTCACCAACATTGCTGCACTGCATCATATAGTAACTGCTGCAGGTCTCCAGTTCAGCTCAGCCTATAGCTCATAAGTTCAGATCCTAGAGCAGAATCTGGAGAAATTGCAGAGCTGAGGGTATTATAGATATTTTTTACTAGTTGTATCTCTTATTTGTCTATAAGGCCAGATCCTGCATGGTCCTGAAGAAGATGTTACTAGCAAAGGCACACTAAGAAACTAAGTTTAGTGCGGGGCCAATAGATGGAAAATGCCTTTGTCCCAGAAGATGGTCCGACCTGGAAACAACCGTATCTATCACCAGCAGATTTCTCCAGTCCGAAATAAGCACAGACACGAGTGTCAAATTTAAAAGATATATTGAATACAACAGGTAACAACACAAAGAATAACCCCAGAATTCAACACTGCATAAACCAACCCCTCACCCCAGAAGTAATAGAAGATAGCACAGTATAACTAAACAAAAAAGCACTATACTCAGTCTGTTCTAAAGTCAGATGACAGCCGAGGCTCAGGACCTTCAACCCATTGGCATAGGCAGCCTCAGAGGGGAACACTGAGGAGTCCAATTGATGATTCGTCGATGGTATGATGGTAGGTATGCTACACAGGCACCCGATGGTAATCAGTTCTCAGCTTCAAAATAGGGCCTTCGCCACAATGGTTGGAGTGGAACTGGGTGATAGGCAGCTGCTCTCGGTCCGGAGCTACAGGTAGCTATAACCCACAATGCTGGGCAATTGCCACAGTAGTGAGCTAATGCATCCTGTAGGTAGCTGTGGAATTGAGTCTGGTCTGGTCTGTTGGGAAGCACGTCCCGGCCTTCACCATGGCTCTTCTTCAACAGCGATCCAAACTGTCAGCTACTGGAAGATGAGAAAGAAGCAGGAGCCAGGAGCAGGAGGAGGAGCCCGATCCCTTCAGGGGTCTGAGCTTATAATGATCCCAAGGCGGGAAAACAGCAGGAGCGTCTCTAGTGCACAAGGTGAAGTGTTGGGTGCAGATTAGCGTTCCTGGTACAGATTTTAGTGCCATGTGCAGAGCAACAGTGTTGTGTGCACAGCCACGTGCTGTGTGCAGACGATGGTTTTTGGCAGCAAAAGTCTTTTAGTCCTTTGGGTTCCATTTTTATTTCTGTGTAAAACTCAAGACTCCATTTTGATTTTAGTGTCCTTTTGGTTGTAATGTCCTTGATCTTAATATTCTAACTTACAGTCAACAAAGAGTACGTGGTAAAAAATGAACAGTGGGTTTGGGGCCCAGAGAACCTCATTGTGAGGGAGGGAGAATGATGATGAATCCTGCCTAATAGCAGTGGAAAGGCCTAAGTGGGGAATGCATAGCAAAGAGTCTTTTTAGTACAATGAGAATCATGCATAAGCCCATGGCTACCCAGAGAATGCTGAGAAGTAGCAGCCATGTAGGGGGCTTGAGTTTTAGTACCACATAGGGTGGCAGCTGACTTGGGCTCTTGGGGACAGCTCAGGCTTGAACCCAGGTATAGGGCCTTATGAGGGGGAAGGCCCCAGAGCACAGACTGCAGCCCAAGCTGAACGTCTAGACCTCAGCTAAACAGCCCGACAGCCTGAGACCCCACAAGCTTGAGTTGCTATCATGGGCCAGCTGTGGGTGTTTAATTGCAGTACAGACCTACCTCAATGAGCACAACTGTGCCTGCTGCTTCAGTTCAGATGCACTCATGTGTAGCCTATAGTTGCACCTGTTGCACAGTAACGGCTCACTACAGGCTGCTGTGCACTGAAGAGCTTAATGGATCAAATGTGAAAAAGCAAAGGCAAATGACTACAGCATGCTTGGCTCCTTATTTATCCTCAGCAATAGGAGCTGCATTTCAGCCAGAGAGGTGGCATGGTTTGGAAGGTGAGACGCCTCCATTTTATTCTTGGCTCTGATACTGAGGTTTTGTCTAACCCTCAGCTTGTCACTAATCTCCCCTGTGCTTCAGTTTCTCTGCCTGTATAAATGGGACAACAATCCCTCCCTCACTAGAGTATTGTGAGGCTAAATTAATTTGTGTGTATGTACGTATGTGTTGCTCTGCAACAAGGGCTCCATTTATGGGGAGTTAAGAGCGGCGATAGTCCCCCCTCCTGACTTTGAACCTCTAGATTTCATACTTGAGGTCTGCTTAAAGCCCATGCCCTGACTCCAGAGGCAGTTCTTAAATGCAATAGAGTTTGAGCTGCTTGCAGTTTTGTCTTTGGGGCAGGGAGTTTGTTATAAAAAGAGGGTGGAGGAGTAATTTAAAAGAACAAACGCTGGGCATTCAAGCAATTGAAATATTGCTGGGTCATCATGAAAACAAAAATGATAGCTGTTGCCACTCAAGAAAGAGATCTTGGAATCATTGTGGATAGTTCCCTGAAAATATCTCCTCAAGGTGCAGTGGCACTCTAAAAATTAAAAAGCTAACAGAATATTGGGAGTCACTAATAAGGAAAGGAATAGCTAATAAGACAAAATACCATGTAGCTTCTATATAAAGTCATTGTATGCACACATCTTGAATACTGGGACTTTTCAGCTTGGAGAAGAAATGACTGAAGAATGGGGGAAATGTGTAAGAGGTCTAGAAAATCATGAATGGGGTGGAAAAATAGAATAAGGAAATGTTATTCATTCCTTCGCTAACATAACACAAGAAGCCAACCCAATTAAATGTATAGGCAGATTTAAAACAAAACAAAATTGGCAACAGGGGATGGATCATGATGATTGCCTCTTCTGTTTATTCCTTCTGAAGCATCTGGGCATTGGGCACAGTGGGAAGACAGGGTACTAGGCTAGAAGGACCATTGCACTGACCCAGTATTGCCATTCCAATGTTCTTACATAGAGCTGAAATGTATCTGCACCCTGATGTAGCCCACTAAAACCGATTCCTCTTCCAGAGCTGAGATAGAACCCAGAGCTATGTCTACACTGGTGCGATCTTGCACCAGAGCTATGCAAATGAAGCTAAGCATGCAATCCCGCCGAGCCTCATTTGCATATCTAATGAGCCGCCATTTTTGCGGAAGGGGGTTTTGCGAAAGAAGGCACTGTCTACACTGCCCCTTCTTGCGCAAAAAAAACCCTCTTGCACAATGCTGTTACGCTGATTATTTTCAGGAATAATGGCACTGCGCAAGAGGGTAGGTATTCCATGCTTAGCCTCATTTGCATAGCTCTGGCGCAAGATCGCGCCAG